CACAAATATCTATGCATTCTTCAAGATGTGATATGCTCAGTGAAGATGGCTTAGCTGTGAGTGAATGCATCCAATGTCCAGGCCCTTGTTGGTGCGATTCCTCTCGTCTTGGAACAAGCATAGTTCGAGATGGTGAATGTAGCGGGGCATTGACGTCACGTGCTCACGGGTAAGAGAGCTATGACATTGCCGTCGCGCTAGTAGCAACGCGAAAGATGTACGCTCGGCGCAATCCAAGTCCCACCAGAAACACCACAGCGCAGTACCAGACTGCAACTCGACATTAACGCGATCGCGCAACCTGGCTATGAACGCAATTTGCTCCTAGAATTCGCCATGTTACTCGAGGAGAGAGATCATGCCGTGTTCAAGAGTTGGTTGCTACCGAATGTGGAGAACATGTAAGTCGGAGCTACACATTGCTCTCACCAAAGCTGTCGCGCAGGCGCATACTGATCTGCTCCCTAGCTCCGGTGTGGAAGGCGGAGTGCTCGCTGACTATGTAGCCGCCCTCGTTACCGTCGACGACACGGATGCAAACGTGCAGCGTACTTTGATCGAGTCACTGCAAGACTTTCTTGGCCCGGAAAGTAAGCGCATGCGAAGTCTACGTAAAACTTCGTCGCTAATGGCCCAAAGACACCGAGCCCTTCGCAAAAGACGTTATTGCAGCACTCAAAGCTAAGAGCTATCTTCCGAAGCCGAAAGCGAATGACGCGAAACCACAAGCATCGTCGCAAGCCTCACAATCCGCACCCATACAGTCCATAGTTGGCAGCACCAACTTCGAATACGAACCGCATCCGTCGAACGTCCCATTTGGGGCCCCAAAAGGTCCTGCTGCGAATAGGAACTCAGCATCACAACACCTCCTACCCGACCGACCGACCGCTCAGGGCTTATATCAGGATGGTTCGAATCAGTCGAGGAAGCGCAAGGTGTTGGAGAGGGACAACAGCCAGTTGCAAGAGGGCCAGGATCCACATTATACCCGCAGCGGCGCAGGAGTTAATAGGCCGTTGAAGCAGACAGCTCGCAGAGGCGGCAGGAGTGCCGGGACTGGAGATGCGCGGACACAGAACGGGTTCACGAGTTTTGGCGGTATGCCGAATTTCGCGAATCTTCCGCCGCCGCCGCCAGGCCCTTTACCGTTCGATACCTCAGATCCCATGGCTTTCTTTGCCATGGCAGCAGCGTTCGGGGCGAATCTGCCGGGCATGCCCCAGCTTCCTTTCTCCAATGCGCAGGACGGTGGCTCAAAGCAAGGACAACCCAAGACAAAGTGTGCTGATTACTACGAAAAGGGCTTTTGCGCGCTGGGTAACCTTTGTCCACACGAGCATAGCGACGCCGCCATAGCTGTTTCGCCCGACGAAATCCCCGAGTACGATCCGGAGCAGTCGTTCCTTGCTGTACAGCCATCTAGAGGATTCAACAAGCAAGGAGCGTCCGGTGGCCAGCCTCGTGCAACTAAGGGTAGAAAGGCGCGCGCATCGTTCTCTTTGCCGGGCTACTCGCGCGACAAGACAAATAGGACACTTGTCGTCGAACAGATCCCAGCGGAGCATTTCAACGAGGACAGCATACGGACCTACTTCTCAGAGTTTGGCGATATCGATGAGCTTGAGCTACACTCTAGGAGGCAGTTGGCAGTGATCAAGTTTGCTGATCGCCAGACCGCTAGGCGTGCTTATCATAGTCCCAAAGCCGTCTTTGAGAACCGATTCGTGAAGGTCTACTGGTACGCACCAGAGACAAAGGAAAAGCTGGCCCAAGAGAAGCAAGAAGACGAAGAAGAGAAGCTCGACCTAGAGGCGATCGCAATTAGGCAGGCTGAAGCACAGAAGGCGTTTGAAGAGCGTCGTCGTAAGGCTGCGGAAGCAGACGCGAGAGCTGCAGACATCGAGAGACAGCTGGAAGAAAAGAACAAAGAGATAGAAGAGATTAAGCGACAACTTGCTGAACTATCAGGGGACCCGAACGATGACTTCGCTCAGACTCTTGCAACGCTACAAGCCGAAGCAGCGGAACTTTTCGATCAACACGGTCCTAGCGAACCAGCGACTCATGGCCGTGGCGCCTTCAATCCAGCTTACCGAGGTCGAGGATACGCTCCCTTTGCACGGGGTAGGGGCTTTGCACCTTATCGGGGCGCGTACAGAGGCCGTGCAGGTGGCTTTGCTGGTCGAAGTGTGGTGAATAAGAAGCTCGACAACCGGCCTAGGCGTCTGGCAGTCACGATGATCAAGCCAGATACACCGAGGGATGAGTCTCTGCGGCAACACCTTCTTGTGAGTAGAACTCAACCGTGTATTCAATCATTTCCGCTAACGATATGTACAGAATATACCCGAATGCACAAATATTGAGCGTCACCCCGAGCAAGCCGACACCCTCATCCTAACCTTCAAAGAGCGCTACCAGGCAGAAACCTTCCTCGACCAATCCCTCAATATACCCGACGTTGGCAAACTCGATCTCGCATGGGTTCCAAACGACGCCTTTGGTGGTCTCAAATCCGTGACGACGACAAATGACGCTCCTACAGCTCCTCACGACGATGATGGCGATGACTCTTCCGCTACTATCGGAGAGCAGGAGATCAAGGTCGAAGAAGAAGAGGATCGGCAGATGGGAGGTGTGGATGCGGATATGGATGTTGCGGATGATGTGGATGAGTGGCTGTAAGTGATACCCTTGGCATGTGATGTGCAGTGACAGACTCTGCAATGTCTTTCTATTCTCCTTTATCACTATCATACATCAGCGTGGCGTCATGCTTTTAGGTCCAGGAGCATGGTGTGTTCTCGAGATAGTCTCTTCGCACGAATGCAATGCATCAATATACTATATCTTAAGTCTCACAGCATCACCTTGGCGCAGACATTCAAAAGGCCTCCACGCCCCATCTCATGTTTAATATTACACTCCAGCTCTCCTATTCAATCATTACCAGTTGAGCCTGCCCATATCCCTCCAACTCCGTACACCAGCTCCAACAACATATTCACTTGCCACGTCGTTCCGTACAACATCCTCCCTTGTTCCCAAACTTCTTCCTCCAGGTCTTACAAACCCCACACACTCTTTACAACATAGCCTGAAACCTCTTGACCTCATCCCCCTTCACACCGTCAAACCAACTCACTCTATCCTTAACAAACAGCTCGCGCGTCGGCTTCAACTTCGTCTCGACCAGATTGAAATCATCCACGGTCCCAAGCCGCAAGATGGAACAATCCGGGAAAGCAGCGCCAACGCGGTACATGAGCGTCCCGCACGTCTTGCAAAAGTAGTTGGTCATAGTATGGCCTGAAGCTATCGTCGAGGCCTGACCGTACGACGACAAGTTTACACGGCCACGGAGGTGGCGCAGGTGTCTATTGCATCTCTTGTCAGTCACTGCACTGCCATCTCCCCCACACCCCTGAAGTTCATGGAGACAGGAACAAGAAAGACTTACGAATCCCTAACCGTAAAATTGCTAGCAAACATGCTTGCTGTAATCTTCCTGCAATCCGCACAATTACACACAAACGTCGATACCAAGCCCGGGCCCTCGACCGGAAAAGCGAGTTGAACCGCGCCGCAGAAACACGTCGCAGTCGCTTCTTCCGTGTTGGAGAATCCGTCTTTGGCCTGCCCCGCGAGCGGGAAGTAAGGCAGGGATTTATCGGATGTGCTGACGGACATGGCCATGGATGAGGCTATTGGCGCGGGGTCCTTTGGTGAGGGTATTGCTGGTATGACGGGCGTGGGGGTCTGGGTGGTTCGAGTTGATGTTCTGGTAGACGTGCGCGTTGAGGGTTGCCTTGAGGTTTGCGTGGAAGGCTGTGTTGTTGTTCGCGAGGAGTTCTGCGTCGACGGTCGCGGTGTTGAAAGCGGGGATGATAGTGCGTAGGCGTTTCCTGGGGCTCGTACTGGCGTTCTTGGTAGCGGCGGGGGAAGACTAGTTGTTGATGTTGTTGCCTCGGTAGGCGTGCCGGTGCTTTGAACTGGTGTGTCTCCCCAGTTTGCGAAATCTTGGATGTTAGACCCGCGGCCTAGGAACATGGAACTTGCTTTCTTGCGCAGCGAGGAGTGCGAGGGCGGCGTGGAGAGTTCTTTCCGTTTCTCCGTTACTAGTAGTGTTGTTGAACTCTTTGACTTGCGCAGCACGGCGGGCGGTGGATTGTCGGTGCCGGGGATGTGTAAGTCGGGGTTCAGGCGCTGGGCGATTTGCTTGATGAACTTCATGGCTGCGACTGGCTTTCCTTCTCTTTTTTATGTTCCTCTCCCCTTGCTTGCCTCGCGATATGTTGTGTACCCCAGGATTTGTAATGGTGAGCACTAAAACCTGCGCGGGAGCTGCTAAGTTGGCTGACAGATCAGATAAAGCAGGTCGTGTTTTCCCTTCCGTTCGTTCAGTGGCTATATCGGCTATTGTTGTGGTTGTTGTTATCGACAGTTGCTCAGTAAGCCAATATATCATTTCGTCATCGATGTATTACACACATGGAAAAACGTCGATTTAACCCCGACTCCGCATTTCCTACACTTCCAGCCCCACAAGGTAAGGATTGCAAGAAACAACGACCCCCGGTTCTGGGATCGAATGGATCGAAACAAACGACGAAAGGGGAGGGTTCGTTGCTACGGACTTGTTTTGGTCTTCCAAGCCAGCAAAAACAATTATGGCACGCGTCGCGTACTTTCCGTTGGGACGGCTTCACGCTTGAGGCCTGATCTGCGGTGTTAGTGGCCGATTGGTGGTTCCTGACGATATGCAGGGATCGGTTGCATGCGATTTGGACGGTTTCGGTGATTTGGTAAGCATGTCCGTTGGGTCGTGTTCATGAAAAATGCATAAGCTTTACTGTTCACCCTCGCTTTTGTTGAGCAGGTGCGACATCAAGCTAGGATACCAATGAACCTTGTGTCTGAGACAGTACTGTAAAGTGAACTTTCCCCATGTTACAGCCATGGTAGTTGTTCATTTTCCCAGTTCTCGTTTTCAATAGCTACTCCATGATCTCACTCTGCCTCGCTCCTTCCACTCCATGGACCCAACTGACCCTGTCCTTGACGTAAACCTCTCGCTTGGGTCTCAGTAAGCCCTCCATCAAATTCAGATCGTCGACGGTGCCTGCTGCATTTAGTACACACTTTGCTTGATCGAAGGACATCACATACCAAGTCTCATTATGCTAAATTCGGGATGCCGCTCACTCAGCCGGTACATGAGCGTCCCACATGTATCGCAGAAGTAGTTCGTCATCGCCTGGCCAGAAGCAGTCGTCTGAGACTGTGAGAACTTCTTCAGATTGTCCTGGCCGCGTATGTGCTTGACAGCTGAAGCCGCGACAATGAAAGCTGAAGTAAAAGCCGACGCTGTGATCTTTCGGCAATCGGTGCAGTGGCAGACGAAGATGTCTACGAGGCCTGGGGCGGTGGTTGGCTGCGTGGAGCATTAGATCTGTGTGATAGAGGAAGACTGGAGCTACTGGACCGCGAACTTACGAATGCTAGTTGTACAGCTCCGCAATAGCATGTAGCTGTCGCCTCGCCTTCTTTGGAGTAACCATCCTGCTTTAGACTGTTATGGGGTATATACGGTTTGTCCTTATCCGAGTCTCGTGTAGACATGGTCGTGATATCCTTGCTTGACTATGACGTGACCGTTACAGAAGAGGAGTGAATCTGGATGAAGCAAGAAGAAGATTTTTGGGGGCTCAAAAGCGATGCTATGTAGTCATGCTTATCTGTGTAACCCAACCTCTAACTCCGATGTATTGCCGGAGGGAGTGCATGTCCGACCCTCCTCTCACTCACTCCGCTCACTCCGTTAGTTTCATACAGGCCCGGACAAAGAAACACGGGCGGTCCATATGCGCTCGTCGGGCGCCAGCATAATCCTCATGGTAGCTTTACTGAGATGTAAAGTGTGGCATTCTCGGACAAAAACTTAGGTATCTGAAGAGAGACGCATCGAAGTAACCGATAGACCCTACAACTTACTCGCCTTACCCTGTCCCAGTGTAACAACCAACTTACCAAACTGACTCGCACTCTTCATATCCTCAAACAGGGTATCAATCTTCTCCACATCCAAACCATGCACACTGCGACTAACCACAGGCTTCATCTTCTTCTCCTTGACAAAGCGCACCATATCAGCAAACTCCTTCCTCGAACCCATGGTGGAGCCGCGGACTTCGATGTTGCGCAGCACGGCGGACATAAGGAAGTCCATCTTGGGAGAGACGGTCATGCCGTATATGGAGATGACGCCGCCGGCCTATATGCACAGGTTAGATCGTTATAGGGAGAAATGGAGAGAGGCAGGAAGAAACGAACCTTGAGTATCTTACTCCCCACTTTAACAACATCACCGCCCGCGCCATCAACAATAGCATCGAGATACTTCCTCTCCTTGGGCAGCATAGCCTGAAGTTTCTTATCCCAATCCTTCTCCTTGTAGATAACACCTCCCTTCGCACCCAACTTGACCGCCTTGTCAATCTTCTCCTGGTTCCCGCTTGTCACGTAGACATTGCAACCTTGAGCGACAGCAAACAGCAACACCATAAGCGCAACACCGCCCCCGATACCCGTGACGAGGATATTCCGTCCTGGCATCGCATTCCCGCTCTTGACCCAGAACGCGCGCCACGCCGTCAGCCCGGTAAGGGGCAGCGCAGCAGCCTCCTCGTCGTTGAGATGGTGGGGACATTCCTCCAGCTCACCGGCGTCAAGCGCGCAGACATCTTGTAGTGTGCCCACGGGATTGCTCTTCGTGCCGCCCATTATCGCATACCCCTTGGGATGTTCGGGGCCGTCCATGCTGTCCTTCCAGCCCGTACCGGGGTTCAGCAAGACGCGCTTGTTGAGCCATGATTGTGCGGAGGGGGATGCGCCGGCGGAGGTGACGATGCCGACGCCGTCTGCGAGGAGGGGCACGCCGAAGGTTGTGCCGGGGTAGAGGTGTTGGCGGATGAAGAGGTCGCGGTGGTTGAGCGCGGCGGCGGTGAGGGTTATGAGGGCCTGGGTCATGGGTTAGATTGTGCGCGAGTATCGGGTGGTGGTAGAGGGAGCTTACTTCATCTTCTTTCGGCTTGGGCTCGGGGACGGTTATCTTTTCGAGCGGGTAGTAGACTTGGCCTGGCTTGCCTTCGACATGTCTGATGACGATGGCTGAAGGCATTGTTGCTGATGGCGATTGAGACGTGATGTGGTGACGCGTAGCAATTCAATCAGGTACAAGTAGGCTAGGGAGGATGCGTGATTAGATATGTGCAGCTCAGATGCGCGGAGCGATGACCCGAATAGCTCATCATGGTTGTCGTGCTCGGATGCATGACGAAAGAGTCCCTGGACCGAGGTCGCGTTCGGGCGGTGGGTATGCTTATCGATCGATGCGGGGAATCCGGATGACGGGCATTACTCGGTCTTTGCGATACAACACACATTGGGATTCATCAGGAGCATCTTGTACTGCAGTTGGTATTTCTTCATACAAGAGTCATGGTATTCGTCTCGTATAATACATTAGTGATGCAGGTCCCTTTAGGGTCTCCACCTGAACGACGGATGCCGCCAATCCAGATCCTCGATTTCACCCTGCGACTTGCCAGCCAGCTCCTGGTCAACATCAATGGCATCACGCTGCTTGTTGCTCCTGTTGATCCAGAGCAACAAAAGGATACTCGATATCAAGATCGTACTGCTGGTCGCCAGGTTGAGCCCATTGCCAATGGGATAATTAGGCGCATCTGTGGGGAGGAAACTCCATGTCGAGATCAGGCCGCCTACGTTACCGAACATAACAACAGTACCTAACATTCAGTCAGACTTTGCTTTGATTATGACGTACAGATTCTGGTACTTACCGATAGCGGATGCGCGCGCCGTGTCAGACACAACGTTGGCGGAGCCTTGCGCGTTGCACAGCGCGCCAAACGAGAATGCTCCCGATGCGATGAGGAAGGTAGCACCATATCGAACTTGCCCATCTGTACTGGTTAAGAACATGATATATCCGATCATCATGAGTGGTGCTCCCAGGATGAAGAAAATCATGCGCCTGTCGAATCTCCAGCTCAGGAATGGTAGGAGAAGTGTAAAGAAGGCGCCCACGATGTATGGTGGCACGGTGTGAAGTTGCTGCGAAACAACAGTATCGTTTGGGTATATCGTCTTGACAATCGTGGGCGCGAAGAAAGCCAGACCCTGCACCGTGATGTTGTCGAGAAGAAAGATGAATGAAGTCGCCAGTACCACAGGATTGAAGATACCGCGAAGCGTCTTCTTCTTGTCTAGCTTATCCAGGACCTCGTTCTGGCCGACACGCTCCGACTGGGTCAAAAGTCAGTAGTTGTACTATACATACCGGGTTGTCTAGCCGAATCCACGCTTTACTGTGCTATCTATTTTCCAGAGGAGATGGTGACATACCTTGACACGAGCAATCGCCAAATCTTTCTCTTCTTGCGTCAACCAGCGCGCAGTCTCCGGGCGATCTGTGAGCGTAATGAAGGAGATAAGGGCTAAGCAGCATGTGACAATGCCCTCTATAGCGAAGATCATCCTCCAGCGTGTGAGCGAGCCGAAGGAATCGAGCGTGAGAATCGCTGAAGCCAACAAACCTCCGAAAGCGCCAGCTAGGGGAGACATGACAATGTACAGCGATAGTCTGAACGCGAGCTCAGAGCGTCTATACCATCGAGACATGTAGTATGCAATACCTGGTAGCATACCAGCTTCAAAGATACCCAGCAGAAAGCGTACGCCACAAATGGCATGAATGTTGTGAACAAAAGCCGTGCCAATCGATACGATACCGAAGCATAGTGAGATGATAGGGATGAACCATCCCGGGCCGAGCCATTTACAGCAGATATTGGACGGGATCTCGAAGACAATGTAGCTGACGTAGAACACGGAGAGAACGGTATTGTAGTCGTAACCACTGAGTCCAAGGTCCTTTTCGAGGCCCGCTAGACGAGCGTTTCCGATGTTGGCACGGTCGATGAAGCAGAACAGATAGAGAAGGGCCACTGTCGGGATGATGTACAAATCGATCTTCAGGCGGAGACGAGATTCCGCCTTTTTGTCAAAGTGCATCAAAGCATGGCCGTAGCTGTCGACATTGTCAGCAAAGAAGATCGAGGAGAGTGGCTAGACTCGCATGTCGGTAGCAGTATGGCCGTGTCCCGCAATCTGGTGCGCGTCCTCTGGCTTGAAGTCTTCATGTTGGCTGCTCGGCGTGTCTTTTTCAGCCGCGCAATCCGTCTGGGCTTGGACCATGGTGAAGCGGCGTCCTGAGCGCGTTCAGGTACAGAGAGAAAGAAGGAAGGAACGACCTTTTTCTTAACAACGGCAGGTCGTAACGTCGCAGCCGCACCTCAGCTTTATTTGTACTCCACACCCCCCGGAAGATTCTCCTTCACGCCGGATCGCAGCTGGGTCTGGCCGGTGTCCTTGTCAGCGCCGTTTTTGATGGAGCGCGCGCGCGCCAAGGTAGCTGGCTGTCATTACTAGCTCTCGAAGTGGTGAAGCGCCTGGGGCACGGTCGCCAGCGGAGCCTTTCGGCGTGGAGGCGGCTCTTCCCCGGACTCCACGATGATCGCCGACCCATCTATCTGAAGGCAAACAGCCGTCGCAGTCCTTTCATGTGCCGTCGGGTGTCAGCGTCGGTATATGGCCGTTCTTCGGTAGTAGATAGGGCGTAGGGCTCACTTGCTTGCATCGTCATGGCAGAGACCTCTTCCCGGGTACCCCGCTACGCCACGACTGTTGCCACGACTCTTGGGAGACTGGGACCGATCAAACATTACCATGTGTCAAGCGGCTGATAGGCTGACGGGCCATTGCATGTCCGAAATCGACGGGAGAGTAAGGGGACGTGTGGGTTTTGCGCAAACGTAAAACGAGTCAACGAATTGCACCTGCACGGCCCTTACTAAGCTTTGGGACGCTTGTGGAAGAGCGTTCAACCACTCCATTAGTACGTTCAACTCCCATCAGGCTTCTGATAGGAACAGATGCTATGCACTTTGTAGAAGGCGATGACCAAACTTTTCGATCTTTTCACCGGTCTACAAGTGCTTGTAGACTCTTGACGTGATGTAAAGCTTATCGCCTAATCTCGATTTTCGGAGAGATAGCGTACCAGGGTACCATGTGGTGGAAATGATTGCTCTTAATTGGACGCAAATACGCCATACGCTGCCGATCCTGATAGATATCATACATATAGCGGCCCTTAGAGTAAGCGGTGTATACTCGAGGTTTTAACTTTCAGTCCACACGCTTCTGTATCAAAGTCACCGCCGCAGCCAGCGCACCGATAATGTTACATCCTTACCCTGACTGAACATGCAACGCACTACTGGCATTGCTCAAACTCTCTGTTCATCTTCAATCTGACCTTCTGCCCCTATTGAACTTCTGATTCTTCTTCCATCCAGGGTAGAGCATATCGCACCTTCCAACGACGCAACAGTAGCTCACGGAAACCTTCCATGTCAGCAAGGGCTGCTACAGGAACACAATGGTACAATGCAGCATGCGGATGCCCGAAGTAGCCTGTCTCCCTGGCTCGCGCTTCAATTTGATCCTTTTCCTTCTACAAGTCAGCCTTGATC